ATTTCAATGGCACGATCAGGTTTTAGATCTCATCGTTCTACATCAGATAATTTGGTAATTTAATAAACACATATTTCAGACTTTAGTAGGGCCTATAAACAAGATTTATTAGCAACCTTTTTAATTTCGAGAAAGCCTCTGAAACTGTTCAAAAATCTGTTATACTTCTAAATCTTCAACAATGTGTAGTTATATTATTGGTGGAAATATATATTACTTCGTGCAGAATTTCTTAGACGATAGAACTTTTAAAGCTATTTTAAATGGAAAGCTATGATCTACTTGTCTTCAACATAATGGTGTAAAAGGTTCTGTTATAAGCACAAAAGTTTGTTCAGTTTGGCATTTAATCATGTAGGCAAAAGCATTCATATCCCTGTAAAATACGCGTTACATGCAGATGATCTTGTTCCGACAATAACTCAAAATATTCACAAACATTATTTAACTTCTTTTTTATTTAGATGGTTGTAAAGTGTTGGTGGATAATTATTTTTTTCTATGATCTAGATATCTTAATTGCTCTGTCAGTAAGACTGAACACAACACTTCTTTTGGAGGGTTATCGGTGCGTTGGTAATAAAATTTAGATATCTTCCGAAACAAATATCATTTGTAAACCAGTTAGTTGTTATCAGTCGGATATTGTTATTAAAGTCTAAAATCAAGAAAATTAATTTTGTTGTAACAAGTAACAACCTAATATCCACCTAGATGGTGGATTACTGATAAGTACTTGCTCTTGAGCAATTGGTAGTACTGGCAACTGAACCCCGACTATATTCTGGAGCTATTTTCTTCTAATTTCCTAAGTGGAAATTGACACGTCAAAATAAAATCTCTACTTGTGATTAATTACCACTAAAGATAGTAAAGACTACTTTCTTCGTGATATCAATTTCTTGCCGATTTTAGGTGACAAGTAAATTAAATTTTTGAGGGTCATTTTGTAGTCGCGGAAGTACGAAAAGCTAAACATAATTTTTTAGGTAAGTCATTTTTAAAATGGATATTCTTTTAGAAACATTAAATTATGTTGATAGTCAGTGAAGGCGTTTTGCTTATATTAATAAATAAATTATTATGCATTATACTGAATCCTTAACCATTTCAATTACATGTTTTGTTTTCTGTTATTAACATAGTTTAAATATCATTTTTCTATATAGGTTTTTTTATCCACAGATTTCCTTTTAACAATGAAAAATAAACTCATTGGAAAATAAACGAGCACGCCAGTGTTGTAGATATTATACCTTCAAGCAGGTCTTTACGACAGCCGAATACACAGTAAGCCACACGCTTATTTACACAGGGGCACATTCAGATAATACAGTCCTGAGCCCTTCCCCTTGTTGCACTGTTATGCCGAGAAATAAACAGTTCATAAAAGTACTTAAGCAAAAACTTGTTTAGTTAGTGGAACGATTATGTGTACATAATCAGTGCTACAGTGCTATGGATTTATTTTGTTTTGATATCCTTTTGCTCGTAACCTATCCAAAAAAATTCTAATTTAATATACTCAGCATTATTTGATACTGAAAAAGTTTGGATTGTAAAATAGATGTAGACTTGCTAGCTTTAAAATGTGGTGTTATTGAAAAATATGGAAAAGATCATGGACACAACACGTAATAAATACGGAAATCTTAAGAAGGATGAAAAAAGACAGACGGAGAGACGACGCAAGTTCTGGTTGAAAAATTTAAAGCAGTGGGGTGAAAAAGCAAACAATAGAAAGCAACAATTTAGAACTTCTGCAGACATAATAAAATGGCCGTGATGATTGATTGACATCATCCTCAACTAACCAAGCATCCTCCTGTTGACATGAAATAAGTATAAATATGTCTCAATAATCGGCCTTGGAATGCTAGAATTTTCTTGTAATGTCAGAATGATCGTTAGAATTACCTTGGAATACCAAGGAATGGAATTATTGTCAGAATTAACTAATATCATAATGAAGAAAGTCTAATGTAAAGTGCGAGCATAAAAATATATTTCCGAACATCTCAAACTAATGAGAGGACTGCGCTGGGGAGATGCGCTATGGAGTACGATGTTTGACCTGGTCTCATGTCGCCGGTCCTGCATGGTCATGGCGCCGTAAAGTCTAGCCGCAGTGACCGAACATTCAGGGCTGCCACGGAACATATTAGAACGTCTAACTACTGACGTCATAATAGGTCTAACTTTCTACAAATCAGTGTACAATCATCAAGATTGTACTTTCGTACAATTAAATATCACAATTGTACAAGTGACTCATGTTTTAATGATTTTTTGTAAGCCAGTTTACGTCTACCCTATAGAAAAAAAGATTTTTGTTTCGACAAAAGGAGAAAAAAAAACTTCTTTTTCTGAATGTTCAATTCATTTAATATTAAATCAATTTCAATAATTTGATTGGTCTATTTTTAAACTGTTCAAATATTTTGGCAAAGATTTGGGTTCTAAGAAAAATGTAACTTTGTCATCGTGTCTGATTCAACTTGGAAGTTATCTGCAATAGTGTTAATATCTTTCTCTAACGGTAGATAATGTCTGCGATTAACATCGTCGCAAATTACGGCGATGTAACTAACAACGCCATTGTTAGGGTAGCGATTTTATTGTCTGTTATCTGTACGTCGGTTTCATAAGCACATTGACAGAAGTTTCATAAAGCAAAAAACATAATTGTTTGTAGTATTATTATTATTAGTGAAGGAGCTTTTACTTTTACTTTTTGTGAATTGTGAGTAATTTAGTTTAATTCAATTTGGTGACAATAAATATGACTGACAGTATTATAATGAACCGTATATCAAAAAGAAACGTCACAATTGAACACCCGAAGAGAAAACTATGTTCGGAAATGTTTTGGAAGGACTTCGAGCTAGAGAACAAAATATCAATGTAAGCTATACAGTTATATAATGTCATATTTTGACAAAAGTTTCTGAGGCTAGAAGAGTAATTAAAACAGATGATATAACAAACGTTAATAATACTTTGAAGGTTGAGACAAGAGGAAGGAAACAAATAAAATTGGATGATACAACCGAACAGACCATTCTTTTTTCGGTACATGAATTTTATTTTAAAAAGGAATTACCAACTATAAAAAAAATGCTTCTTCTCTTCAATCTAATGAAAATGTACCAAAAATTTCAAGACGTGTTTTGTTACGTCCTTTATGTGAAATGAACTTTCACGTTTCAGGAGGAAAAGGAATAGTATCCCTATTGAAAAATAAGAAATGAAAAAAAAACCATACAGATGAAATGTGATTAAATGAAGAACATATTGTGACAAAAATTTGGCAGGATTTAAATATAAAAAAACAAACGACAAGCTTTCCTAACTGGTTTGTCGACAGGTTTAAAAGTCCCACCTGGAAAGGGAAAACGCCTTATTATTAGCCATATTGGTAGCGACTAAGGATATTCAAGAAGGCTTAAATGCATTTATTTTTAAAAAGACTGGAGATTACCGTAAGGAAATGGATGCAGATCATTATGAAAAATGGGTTTCAGATATTCTGTTGAAAATTAACCGTCTTCAGTACGGTGCTGCACCGTACGGCGGTTTCTAACGACGAGTATTAGTCAGAAATACGTATATACGGTTGCTTTCCATCGATATACTTTTATTGGTTTTCTATTTTGCGAGACATGCCATTACATTTTATTTTTGTTATTCACTCGCATTATGCTTTTCCATTTGTTTTAAACCTTTCAACTTTTGGCATTCCTTTCTCCAGGTAGCTTCCTCCGTGGATATTGTTCATTGTTGCCCTGGAAACCATCAGGGTCTTCTAACTCTAATGCCACTAATGAAGACGACCAATAGTCAGAAATACGTATGTATGGTTGCCTTCCATTTTATACACATATTTTATTATATTTTTTTCCCTTTGTTGCGAGCTATGCAGATATCTTTTACCTTTATTTTACTATCAACTCCCATTAACCTTTTTCTTGTTGTTTGAAACGTTCTAAACGTTTGGCATTCCTTTACTCAGGTAGCTCTTCCCTCCTTAGCTTCCTCCGTGGATGTGTTGGTTGTTGCTGTGGAAACCTCAGAGTCTTTTAACATTATTGTCACAAATTGGTCGCATTGCTCCTGTGATGCAATGATCCTTTCCCAACTTAACATGCTCCTTTTCTACCTTGGATGCCCGTACTGAATACGACCATGGTACGATATACACCTCAAGTCTACAATTTTCTATTGTATATCTACGAATTTGTGATAATTGTATCAATCAAGATGGATTAGTTAAACATTTTACACGTATCAAAACCCACAGAAAATATAAAAAACTAATACACGCAACGTCAAGAATGCAATCAAATAACTTACAAAATGAAACTATCCAAGTATGTCCAAACAAACAAAATTTCATCGTTATAATACCGTAATACGCCCTGAGTTCACTTACAAATCGGAACGTGGGTAATGACGATGCGAGGTAAGGATAAGCTGTGAATTTTTGACTAAAAAGTATTAAACCATAATATTGTTAAACCAAATATCATATATATCATATGGCGTAGTTAACGACGACGGGGCCCATGAAGAATACGACATAATTTTAAACATCAAAATGAATCGAGTAAAATAGGTAAGCTACGCCATACAGATGAGTGGAAGACTGTTAAAGTAACTATGGTAAACAATCTGATCTGAAGGGACAGGACGAAGATTAAAGTGAGGAGGAGAAGGCAATTCGAAAAGAAAGGATGTTTAGAGGCAAGACAAGGGCTATAGCACCATTTCATGACGATTAGTGAATTTATATATTATACAAGTATTAACATTATCAATCTAGTTTCTAATACAACCCTTTAATTTTTTATATACTAACATTTTATTGAATTGATTTTTTAAGTGTTGATACAATATGGTATTTGTTTCCTCTATTTTAGAGTTTTCTGACAAACTATTCGTATGTCTTAAAACTCAACAAAAATGTATGTAAAGGATTAAATAAGACATATCTTAGTTTTAAAACTAAGGCTTTATTACTTTTTAGAAAATCTTACCAAAACGTCTATAACACAACAAAATATATACAACAAACATTAAAATCTTTGGTGTTTAGTGAGATTCCGCGGTTTTTAAAAACTCGGTGTACTTTTCTTCTGACATCAATTCCTTGATTTCGTCTGGATTTGATAACTCTACTTTGTATAACCACCCTAAAAAAACATAGCATTATGTACAGTGTGTTAAAGTATTCAAATAGAAATAATTACAAAGTTAATTCTGGTTTTTCTGTTATTTTTTTAAGTTACGCAACTAAAGGCTAATAAATCCGCATTAACTATCCGTCTAATAACTATCCCAGGAAATGGAATTATTACAGTGTTGTTTGAATATAATTTCATATAAAATACCAAATGATACTAAATGATGATAAACTAAACCGGTCAGACACAGAACAGAACTAATCCTAGTTTGGACTATATCCTGTTTGATCAATCGTGCCTCTCTTGACGTCTATGTGGAGTAATATATGCACTTAGCTATCATACTGGAGATCACCAGATTACTAACTGATATCCTAAAAAGAAATTTGGTTATTTATCCACATCATTGCCTTAGACTTTATGCCTCCATATTCTTCTTCTTGGACATCAGAATATTTTTTCTTATATCACTAGATGTTTCGTTGTCATTATGTGTGTTGGTTTTGGTGTTTTAGTATTTGGTATATTGTCAGTTGTCCGGTTTAAGCATCTTCTCGTGTCTGTTCAGGACATATTTTTTGATAGCAATGCTTCTGCATTGGTACTGGTTTTTGTGCTGGATTCACTTTTTGCTTTTCAGATTTTTTCGTTTTGTCTTTTGAGCTTACTGGCTCTAGTCTTGCCCGTTTAGGGTAGCTGTGGCTTTTATCTCTCCATAAAGAGGAATAATTGTGCAATGGGATCGAGAAACAACAGAAAACCTATTACTTCCTGTCCGTGCGCTTTTCTGAGCGAGAAAGAAGTTTCTTTGTAGAGTATACATAGAGTATGCATCTGACGTATAAATTTCTGAAAGATGAGCATAACGTTTTTAGGATGCTGTCTTTCGGAAATGGTTGAGATGTTCGATAACTGATGTAGTTGTGCGGAGAGAGTTTGGTTTTACTCTAGGTTGTAATTTACTTTATTCAGAATACTCCTCTCTAACGTTAGCAGATTTTGTGTTAGGTCTTCGAGCAGAGCATAGACATTTGCTCTGTTTTCAAGTTTTCAATCACATGTCGAATGTACGTTTTGTATGTATATATGTATGAGTGTCTTAGCTTGCATCCGTCCAAATTTTTCACATAGAGCATTGAGTAGGCCGACCCTTTTTCTAACCTTATTAGCTATTGCTAACAGATTTTCTCCCCATTGTACAGAATTGTGGTGAACACCATTAGTAGGTACTCGATCTAGCCGCTGATCTGAGTCGGTCTTCCCATAGCCTCAAATCAACAAGTTCTTCTGCAAGCTGTGTGTAGTAGCTGCTAGTGTTTGTGTGTCTGATATGTGTTTTCCTTGACATCTTTAGCACCACCTATCGATATGGTTCAGGTGAGGTTGAGCGCGTCTTACGATAACATTTGTGTCTCGTGATGTTACGAGAGTAGTGTCATCTGCGTTAAGAAGATAAAGGTCTTTCTGGGATTTGGAAGTCGCTGTTGGATATAGCGTATAGTGCGAGCGAATGAATGGAATTTTAAGGCGCTCCTACTCTGGGTGTGAGTGGTGTTGAAAGTCGGTTTTTGACATTTACTGTGACGATTCTTTCTTAGAGATATGAGTGAAGGAGTTTAATAACGGAAATGTGCAAGTCGATATTCAGTAGTTTCTGTAATAGTTCATAATGTCAAATTTGATAGGAGGCTTTCTGAGCGTTGAGGAAAATGCCAAAGGTGAATTTTTTGTCATTTTAATTGTGAGTGATGTGAGTGACGATTGCAGTCAAAGCAGTATTATTGGAGTGATCTCCTTGAAAACCGAGTTGAAATGAATTAGACAAGATACGGAAATTTGAATGATTTAAGCCTTTCGTATTAAAAATTATTCGGTACTTAGGAGTAAAAGTTAAATCCAAACTTTCTCTTTACTGACTTCAAACCAGCTTGTGATTTGGGTATAAGAAAACACGAGGTAAACTTCACCCCGGTTAAAATAACGAGGAATAAATCTATCAAGTTAGTAAAAAATAAACCTTTCTTCATCATAACGGTATAGACGGATTTGACAGTTGAAATATGTAATATAAGATATAAAAAAAACTCTCAGCTAGAGATTTATCAATTTTTTAATGGAAATATTGTTAAATAAACAATCAAAACGTCACACTCATTATTCTGCTCATAACTTTAAAACTTTTCTATTTAGAGATTTGACTTTTTCAGAAAAAAATACACAAAATGAGGTATTTATGCTAAATTAAAATCGGATGTTGTACCATATTATTTTAAGTCATGACTTTTAAAATGTAACTTATTTTCTCTATTTGTATCATAAACCTATGGATCTTAAAATTTAAAAAATACATTTATTTATGTACAAAAGATTATTTAATAATAAATAATACTTTTTAAGCTTATAATAATTTACAATCACTCCCTAGAATTTAGTTCGAATTAAATGGCCAAAAATACTTAAAAAGCTGGTTAAAAACACACCTTTGAAAACGAAAAAAAAATGTTGTAGGTCCCTTGGGAGACTAGATACCCCATTTTATTTTTAAATCAATGTTACATTAATTAACAACGTTAAGGACTCGAATTAACTAATCTTCTACAAGCAAAGTTTTTAACAAAACTTGTAGCAAACAAAATTATTGAAAATTATTCAAACAGAAGTGTTATAAACAAAAAGTACTTTGCGTTACGACTAGAGTAAAAGGAGTGAGGTAACCGACTCGACTACCAGCAGCGCTCTTCAAAAAATTCAACAAAGCTTCAAAAAAGAGCTCTCGGAAAAAAAATGGCATATATCGGGTTATACTGGACCTAATTTTGCACGATAGATTAAAGCCTTATACTGAAATGTTTCTAGGGGAATATCAGGCAGGATTCAGGCCTGGACGTTCAACCATTAACCAGATATTTACACTACGACAGATCCTCGAAAAAGCGCAAGAGTTTAACATAGATATGTATCATATTTTTGTCGATTTTAAAGCAGCATATGACAGTGTCTAAAGACCAAGTCTTTACAACGCTATGAATGAGTTAGGAATTCCAAAAAAACTCATACGTTTGATAAAAGTGACAATGGCGAAGATGCTATCAGCAGTAAAAATTCAAAACGACTCGTCAACCCCATTTCAAATACATAGGGGGTTAAGGCAAGGAGATGCGCTGGCGTGTCAGCTTTTTAATGTCGCCTTAGAAAAAGTTGTACGAGACGCTAATTTAGATAGCAGGGGAACAATATTTAATAGATCAGTCCAAATTTTAGCATATGCAGACGACGTGGACATTATAACAAGAACTAGGGCGAGAACTGCGGAAATCCTAACCGAGCTAGTAGCAGCAGGAGAACGAATGGGGTTACATATAAATCAAAATAAAACCAAATTCATGGCGACTAACACAAACACAAGAGCTGGAAATGTTGACACAAATTTAATCATCAATGACCAAAACTTCGAAGCAGTCAATGAGTTCATATATCTAGGGACATCGGTTAACCCCAATAATAATACATCTGAGGAAATAAAAAGGCGAATAATAATTGCAAACAGGTGTTATTATGGTCTATCAAAGTACTTAGCTAACAAAGGTCTGTCTCAAAAAACTCGTATAAGGCTGTATAGAACACTGATAGTCCCCGTTCTTACATACGGATCAGAGGCATGGACGCTAACGAAAACAGATGAATCCGCTCTATCCATTTTTGAAAGAAAGGTGCTACGCAAGATATTTGGAGCGGTCTGTGAGAACGGAATATGGAGGCGTAGATATAACTTCGAACTTCAGAATATCTACAAGCATACGTTTGGTGGTAAAGATATTACCACTATAATTAAGCGAAACCGCCTGCAGTGGGCAGGACATGTAGCCCGGGCTAAAAAAGATTCTAACAGCACAACCTGTGGGAATGAGACGACGGGGTAGACCAAAGCTGAGGTGGATGGATGGGGTAACACAATCCAAAGATCGGATTCGGCAACTGGAAAATTCAAGCAAGGGACAGAACAGAATGGCGTAGAAAGCTTGAGAAGGTCGAGGCCCTCTAAGGGCCGTAGCACCAAGATGATGATGATGATGATGACTGGACCTAATTCGCCGTTTCTTTAAAATGGGGTACAACCTTAATATAATAATATTTATCGTATTTTCATTGCAAAATTATCCAAAACAAAGTAGCTAATAACTACATGATGTACAAATCTTTTCTTAAGTCGCTTTTTATTGTTATTTTTTTATTTACTTATTTACAATATAATTATAATAACGAATGTTATTTATAAACATTATTATTTGCATGGACGTTTATACGTCCATGGGTATTTGTAACAATTTTTTCATATACCCTGATTAAATTTAAACAAATCAGTTTTTAGTAGTAAAAAAATTATTTTTGGAAAAAAAATCGTTTATACATTATATTCAGAAAAATTACAACTTATTAACCCTTGTGTGGGGCAGCAGTCAACAAAGTCAGAATAGCTATGTTAGTGTCCAACATCCGTAACGGATAGGCACCATAAGAAGAACCCTTGTGTGCATACCCGGTTACACTTTTGCCCACCACGATACGTTTTTTTCATGTAAGTTGATTAAAAATTAAAATTTCGCTTTGGACGCCAATTCGTCCTTATTTATTAACTCAATTCTAAGGCAATGGTACATTTTGAGATATCTCAGAATTTTTATAAGCACAAATAATTAAGTTTAAATTATACACATGACGCGGACACACCCGGGCACCTGGGTACCCACCATAGAAAAATTTAATTTTGAGTAACTTATGTGGTTCATGCATATGAAATGGATTGGGTTATAATATTAACGAAGATTTATGTAAAAAACCAAAGAAAAGATTTATTTATTGCATTCTAAACACTTAGCAGAAGTTACTGCACGCTCATCGAAGATAAGCTTATCACATTCGAAGCAAGCTTTTCGTGTTTTCCTTCTCTTCTCGATTGTTTGTAACAAATATGGCAGGAACCGATGGCTTTCTTCCTGATGCATCTCTTTAAATCGCCGGACATGTAGCAGCCTCCACATAATTTACTGGCCGAACGATAACACTTTCAATAGCGATCTTGGTGCTATAATCGATCTCAAAGTGCGACGTTGTGTAGTATATCTACGAATAATTTGGTTCATAGTGTCGACGCCAGCTTTATAATGGTACATCACACTACACTACACAAGGACAAACAAACACTTTAATTTTTTTTTTAATAGGCGAAGCTACATTGTGTATATTCTGTCTCCGGCTTCTGTACACAATGTAGCTTCGCCTATTTTTTTTTATTTTAAAGTGTTTGTTTGTCCTTGTATAGTATAGTGTGATGTTGTCGTATTTTTGCGGAAAATAAGGGGTGTAAATCCCTTAAAAACCACAAAGTTCGCTATATTGATGTTACCTTATCTTGACAAACAAGGTAAAGTAAAATAAAGCACTACTAGGGTTAAAATAAAACACCAGGTACAGTTGAACAGAAACTCAGCCACAGAGTCTAGAAAACAATACGCAGAGCCCCTAGAGCGCTATGCTCTAGGGGAGCCCGAGAAGGACTGACTCAACTGATAACAACTCAGTGTTGTTATCAACAGGTCCTCGTAGACACTTCGTCTCAGGACCATTTCACTCATGTAGAGTCATACGCCGCCATGTTACCTATCCAACGGTAACTTAAACATCACAAATTATAACTACTAATAATGTAAAACAACTACAAATTTAAAACATTTAAAGGGTTTTGACCCATATATTTTGGTGGCTACTAGCATGTACAACCGTTTGCACTGATGATGGATTGTTTAATCCGAAAACGTTTTGCAATGTGTTTGTGATAGCCCGTTTGGGGCATTTTTATATACATTTTATAAAGGATTTTAAACAAAATTTTTTTGTGATATATGGTATACAGCCAGCTACAGGAACTTAGTTTCCTCGTGGAAAATGGCTATTATTCAGTGGAACATTTAATTCGTATTTACACATATAGAAATGTTACAGCTTTTAATTTAAGTAATGAAAAAGCTGATCGGGAAACTAAAGAAGCCTGCTATACGAATATACTCGATAAAGAGCTCCTCGAAATTCCTCATTCCGACATTCAAAACACCATCAAATAATTTTTAATGAGAATATGGCTCGATAGATAGAAAAAACTTAGACCACAAAAAACTACAACGCATCAACCCAAATTTGTCACCAAAAGGGATAGATATTGCTACAAAAACGACGAGATCAAGTCATACTACACTGCTTGAGAATAGGACATACCAGGTTAACCCACCAGTACCTAAAGAAGAAGGAACAACAAAAACTGTGCTATGTTTGTGATACCTCTAACAATCGAACTACAGTAAATATGATAAAGTGACTAAGTTTCAAAAACTAACTAAATTGTACAATCTAATATAAAAATAGACTTAAGTTCCAAATTGTAATTAGTTATTATAAGCAAATCTGATTTTATGTACAACTCTTCTCCGAAAATAACCTTTCATGGTTGACGCGGTTTACTTAATAAAAAAAAAAGATATACCAATGTGTCTAAAAGGTAGAGTTTATGACAAATATATCTTGCCTGTAACTACATATGAACTGGAGACCATGGCCTTTACAAGGAAAACCTTAGAGCAGATCAGTACAACCCAGAGAGCGATGGAGAGGGCCATGCTAAGTTGCATTATTTTGAGAGACTGGATTCGAAATATCGACATTCGGGAAAGAACAAATATTACTGATAATATACTGATGATACAGCAAGGCTCAAGTGGCAAGGGGTCGGACATGTTGCACGAGATAATCCCGAAAAATGGACACAAAGATTAACAAACTGGAGACCAAGAGAAAACAAGCGAGGAGTAGGCAGACGACAGAAGAGGTGGCCAGATGATATCAAACAAGTCGCGAGCAAGCAGTGGATGAGAATTCCCAAGAGTAGAAATCAATGGAAGCAAATGGAAGAGGCCTATGTCCAGCAGTGGACGAATATAGGCTGAAGAAGAAAAAAGTTATTAACAATATTCATTTTGCAATACCCATTTTTGGTTATTTAGCATATCTCATTTTGTTTATTTTTTTTTTTCTGAAAAAGTTGTCTGTTGACGCCAAATCACTAAATAGACAGGTTTTAAGTCATGAGTAAAATAATTTCTAACTAAAATAAGTTCTGACGTTTTGATTGTTTATTTGAAAATATATCCACTAAAAGATTGATGAATCCCTAAATGAGGGTCTTTTTGTAATATCTCGTACTACACATTTCAACTGTCAAATCCGTCTATATAGTTGTTTCGAGTAAAAAACTAACTTAATTAACTTAAAAGTTTTAGGTTTAGCTTTAGGTAAACTAATTAACTAAAACCACTATAGGGAACGTTAAAATAATATTCCAAATGATTATTTTTAATAAACAAAAAATAAAGTATTGGTGGAAGAAAAATGCCAAGATTTTACAACTATGATATGTACTGTCATTTTAGTTTTATATATCGTCTATAACAGTTATAAGCTTATTTATAATCTCAATAGTGAAAAATATTTACCTTTGTCATAACACGAAGTATTAATCAGTGATGGATTATTTTCAACTTCTACATTTTTTTCTACTACTTTTCCTGAAATTGGACTATAAATTTCACTAGCTGCTTTGACACTTTCTAATGCTCCACATTCATCTAAAACAGTGGTTATGTTTGGTTTAATTAATATTTTAGCATAGATAGTTGGTTTAATAGACTATACCAAAAAATATGAACTTAAAACCTTACGGTGATTATCAAATAACAGACTGTTGGATTAGTGTCAAAATGAATTTTAAAATCCTTTCCAACTAGAATATTAAAAAAGTAAAGGTGCGTAATTATATAGTTTAGAATAGATGTAGATAGAATATATCAGGAACCGTATTCAATTTACAAGGTAGTGTTACTGTACAAATGTACAAAGCGATGAGGTATGTATGGACGATGATATGCAAAAACTGTTTAGCCAATCTACCCTTGAAAATTAAGATTTTGTTTGAAAAATCTTTTCTTGTTTAGGGGGTAATTAACGACCAGAAATAACAAAAAAAAACAGAACGGAAGTCGCAACAGAAAAGAACATAAAAATGTAGTACCTTGCAATAAGATACATTTAAGTGAAAAAGGTTATTATTGGACCAAAACTATTCGATCCTAATTTTAGATGGAAATGCGCAAAAAAATTAACAGTAAAAGCTGACGTTAATAGAAGAAACAAACTAAAAAGTCCAGAAGAACAAAGACTCCGATATACTTCGTTAAGATATACAAGTTTGCAAAAAAAACAAACAATTGTTTAAATTTTGCAAATTAAATTTTCTTTGAGCGATCTGATCAGATTTATCGATATGTTGCTTTTAAAGACATCTCTCAACCTTCCATATACGGTCCATCCTAGACTACTTCTTCTTCATAGTACCCGTTCCTCGTTCTTCTTTTTATGTAGAATGACTCTGTCTGTTTTTCAGTGTGCCTCCAGTAAGTTGTCGTTCCATCGTTTCGTTGTCTTCCTACTGCACGTCTTTCTATTGGGGAACCGTCTCTTGCCGTCTTTAATGCTCTGTTTGTTGTCGTTTGGTTTATAATATGATCGTTCTATTTTACTCTTCTATTTCTTAACCAATTATTGATGTTCTCCACCTTGCATCTACGTCGTATATCAGTACCTCTAGCTCTGTCCCATAGTGTCTTACCATCATGACCTTTACTGTCCTGAATATTTGGATTTGTTAACTTTTTGATTTGTAATGATTTGGTGCTCTAGAGATATTAAGTCCCGAGGACCAAATTAACCATAATTTTTAACGATTTATTCACGAGCCAACTTTTTTCGTTGCCTGCCCTAATTCTTTTATCATTGAATAGGCCTCTTTTAAATAATCTCTTATCAGAACTACGCAGTCTGCAAAGTGTAGATTGTTTAATTTTTCTCATCGATACTGATACCTTTATCATCCCAGTATGTCTTTAAAGCATATTCTAAAATGGTTAACTACTTTTCAGAATAATGTATCATAATCTTTCATCATCCTGAAACCTCATAATAGTATTATGGATATCAAGCAGATGTATCCATACCTAGTCTATTCGACATAGATGACGAGTTTGAAGAATCGTATGCATTCGAATGGTGTCATATGCTTTGTTAAAGTCAACAAAAACAAGCACCAATGGTCTATTACATTCTATTGTTTTCTCGATGAGTGGCTTTGTTTTAAGAATATAATCATTTGCTCCGCATCCCGAACGGGAACCTGCGCGATCTACTGTTTGGTAGAAGTCTAGTTTGACTCCAGTCTTTTATGTGGTATTTTCGTTAAAAGCTTGTGTAGGTTGAATGGGTAGTAAGCTTACAGGCCTTTAATTTTCTAAGACAGTGTCTCCTTTGTTAGAGTATTATATTCCAGTTTTGTGGTAATGAACATTATATAAGCAAGAATGGAAGAGCTTTTTTCTTCATTATAATACGGTGTGGCTTCCAATTTTATTGATTTTCCGCTTATTTGATCTTCGCCTGAACATTATTTTTATTTCGTGTACTGATTTCTTACTCTCTTTCGTTGACTTACTACTGTCGTATTTTTCCTAATCTCTATTGGTTCTTCATACAAATGTTTGTTTCGGAACAGCTCTGTGTAAAAATACTAGTTGAGTTAGAATAATTCTTCTTTACTTATTGGTTTTTTCTTTGTCGCGCCTGTTCTTAAGCTTTAAGATTTCTCTTTTGTCTTCGACAGTTGTGTTCTAAAGATCTTCAAACTTGAATTTTCATATATTTTTTCCTAGAATGTTCCGTTATATTAACTTCTTAATGTTTATGTTTTTTAAAATATCTTAATTTAGTTTAGTCATGTTTTAAGTTATCTTGCTGTAAAATTTCTCTTCAATTATTCATCAGTTGTTTAGTATATTGGCTTCGATTCTTCACGGAGGGATTTAGTGATTGATTTTTGAGCTGTTGTATGCTGACTGTCTGTTTTACATTTTTTATTAATCTCTATCTTTCATAATCTAGGCTTACCGTTACGGCCTGTACTAGATCTTTCTTATATGTTATGACCAAATTGATGTGTCTTGTAGAAGCTGTTCATGTGTGTGTTGAATATTTACTTATTTAAGTTGTAGGATTTCGGAACATACCCCAATAACCTAAAATACATACTTCGAAGATGTCAAGAGAATGCCATACACTAGTAGAATATTGTCATGTCAGCAAGAATTTCATAAAACTAATGTGTTTCAATAAAAATAAAGTAGTCAATATCGGTACCTAGTTTTATTAAATACATAAAATTAATTTAGCGACGAGTACCGATCGAATACAAGCAAGCAAAGTCGTCAAAAGTCTGGTCGAGTCGTAAATTATTAGTGTCGTCGTAAAGTAAGGTCAAAAATAGTCGTTAATCGGATCAATAAAGCAGTTCAATCATAGAGAATTGGACATTTCATCGTATATAAAAAGTCTTCAACAATTGTTTATCTGTAATATGATTTAAAATGCCAAGAAAGTGCCTTTGCTAGTAACTTTAATAGGGGAAGTGGCTTACAATGCCCTGAAGGTTTTACTAGCTCCTGATTTACCCAACACAAAGTTTTTGGTAGGTACTAAAACGAACATTAGAAGACCATTACAGTCCAAAAAGACTAATGATAGCTGAACGTTATAAGTTTTATAATGCAACTCCAGAGCAAAAGGAAGATATAAAGTCTTTTGTGGCAAAATTGAAAAAGTTGTAGCAGCACTGCAATAATTATCTGAATGTCTTAGAGATATGTTATTTTGTGGTGTGGCACAGGGAGGTTGGAGGGAGGTGTGGGAGGTTGTATGGCATTAAAAAAATTGTTATCCGAAGACAATTTGACTTATGAGAAAGCCTGTGAAACAGCTTTAGCAATGGAACTTGCCGAAGGTCAGGTGAAAACAATGGGTGCTGAGGGTAATTTGTCTTATGTGACAGAAAAATTGGACAAGTTGTATTTAAAAAATAAAAATGTCATTCAGGCAAAATACCAAGTCAAGATAAAAACAAAGAGTCAAGAAGTCAGAGAAAAAAGTGGAAGTCATGTTGCATATGTATGAACATGAGCCAGAAAAGTGTCCAGCAAAAAGTTGAGAATGTTTTAAGTCTAAGAAGTATGGGCACACAAGTTGTGTCTGCAGAAGTGGTAATATCAATGCAGTGGAAAAAAATCAGAAGAGGACAACAATTTGTTGGTTTTAGGTTCCTTATCTATGTTAGGGTCAGGAAAGGTTCCTCCAGAAAAGGTATGGTTGGAAAATGAAAGTAAGATTTGTAGCATTTTGTGACATGTCGACAAAATCAAAAGTTTACTAATAATAATAGCATGTTGTCACTATGGCCATCAGCACCACTTAATTTTTTTAGAGTCCATGTTGATTTCTTTCAAAAAATTAGATTTATTTCTTGCTTTTTGGATCAAAAGTCTAAACGGCTAAAAATCAAGATGATGTAAAATGGCACAGATACGTCAGAAACAATTGATGAGTTAAAAAACTATTTTTACCAATTTTGGTTTTCCAACAGAACTAGTTTCTGATAACGATCCTCCATATACTTCTATAGAGTTTGTGTCATTTTTGCAGACAAGTGGGATTTAACATATTAAATCACCAGGATATCAGCCGCACAGCAATGGTTTGGCCGAAAGGGGCGTTCAAACAATTAAAAAAGCTTTAGAAAAGCCTTAGGAATCTGACCTGCTATTTTTTAAAAGCAGCAAGAAGCTATTTTTAAAAATAGGCCTAGAATATGTAACATTGGTGACAGCAGAGGGATTTAAGAAGTAACAAGCAATTGTGAATTGTTAATACGAGATTTACCGAATTTAATAAAGAAATGAATTCGTCCGGACCCCCTGCATGGTTTTTATAAATGCAAGATAACGAACTGAAGGAGAAGCGTAGACAAGAAGAGGAATAGAAAAGTAGGCAAGAAGAGAAAGAGGAGAAGGAGAAGCGTGGTGTGGTGAAGCAGAAATGTAGACAAGAAGATAACGACAGGCGTAGACAAGAGAAAGGAGAGAGGCTTAAAAAAGTAGAGGTAGAAATCATAAATGGTTTATCCCAAATTCATGACAATTTTAAGTTAGAGGTAAGTCAAATCACTAGTAGAATAGACAAATTAGAAGACCAACAAAACGATTTAGAAAATAAAATATTACAACAAAACAATTTAGAAAATAAAATAGAACAACATCAAAATGATTTTAAAGATAATTAAGAAAGACAAATAATTAAGTTAGTTGAAATTAGAAGTTTCCTTGGACTCTGTTCATATTTTCAAAAATTTATTAAAGATTTTGGTCGCATTGCTAAGCCCCTTTATCGACTAACCGAAAACAACATTGAATTTGACTGGAAACCGGATTGTCAAAATGCCTTCATAGATTTGAAAAAACGATTTACAACAGCACCTATCTTAGCCTATCCACGAGAAGATATATATATATATATATATATATATATATATATATATATATATATATATATATATATATATATATATATATATATATATAATCATCATCATCATCATCATCATCATCATCTTGGTGCTACAGCCCTTAGAGGGCCTCGACCTTCTCAAGCTTTCTACACCATTCTGTTCTGTCCCTTGCTTGAATTTTCCAGTTGCCGAATCCGATCTTCTCCGCATCTTGTGTTACCCCATCCATCCACCTCAGCTTTGGTCTACCCCGTCGTCTCATTCCCACAGGTTGCGCTGTTAAAATATTTTTTATCATGTTCGATTTAGGGGTCCGGGCTACATGTCCTGCCCACTGCAGGCGGTTTCGCTTTATTGTACTGGTAATACCTTTACCAGTTCTATATTCTGCAGTTCAAAGTTATATCTACGCCTCTATATTCCGTTCTCGCAGACCGCTCCAAATATCTTGCGTAGCACCTTTCTTTCAAAAATGGATAGAGCGGATTCATCTGTTTTCGTTAGCGTCCATGCCTCTGATCCGTATGTGAGAACGGGGACTATCAGTGTTCTATACAGCCTTATACGAGTTTTTTGAGACAGACGTTTGTTAGCTAAGTACTTTGATAGACCATAATAACACCTGTTTGCAATTATTATTCGCCTTTTTATTTCCTCAGATGTATTATTATTGGGGTTAACCGATGTCCCTAGATATATGAACTCATTGACTGCTTCGAAGTTTTGGTCATTGATGATTAAATTTGTGTCAACATTTCCAGCTCTTGTGTTTGTGTTAGTCGCCATGAATTTGGTTTTATTTTGATTTATATGTAACCCCATTCGTTCTGCTGCTGCTACTAGCTCGGTTAGGATTTCCGCAGTTCTCGCCCTAGTTCTTGTTATAATGTCCACTTCCTCTGCATATGCTACAATTTGGACTGATCTATTAAATATTGTTCCCCTGCTATCTAAATTAGCGTCTCGTACAACTTTTTCTAAGGCGACATTAAAAAGCTGACACGCCAGCGCATCTCCCTGCCTTAACCCCCTATGTATTTGAAATGGGGTTGACGAGTCGTTTTGAATTTTTACTGCTGATAGCATCTTCGCCATTGTCACTTTTATCAAACGTATGAGGTTTTTGGAATTCCTAACTCATTCATAGCGTTGTAAAGACTTGGTCTTAAGACACTGTCATATGCCGCTTTAAAATCGACAAAAATATGATACATATCTATGTTAAACTCTTGCGCTTTTTCGAGGATCTGTCGTAGTGTAAAGATCTGGTTATATATTATATATATATATATATATATATATATATATATATATAATTCTTTGGAGGGTAACTTTCGGGATATATATATATATATATATATATATATATATATATATATATATATATATATATATATATATATATACATATATACATGTACATATAGAATATTATCACTTATCTTACCCAACTTACCTTTTTGTTTTACCACTGTATCTACGTCTGGTAATTGGGCATATACTACATCACCTAAGGCTTCCTAAAAAAGGAAAAATTTATAGACTTAACACAAAGTCGACAATGAAAAGAATTATTTCTTAATAATTATTGGAGTTAATTATCAGAAAAGATCAAGCTAGATGACTCTGATGGATCTATATGAAGGCACATTCCCACAAGTCAAGTTTAGTTTACTGATTTAATTTGATCGATAAATGTTAATCACAATTGACTAAGTTTTAGTTCCTATATTTATTTATTTATAATAATAAAAAATTATTTATAATAACTGCCGTGACTTCATTGGTATGGATCCTACAATCAGATTTTTTTTAATTAAAAATTCCCATTATGAGCAAATTGGATTCGAACTCACTGCTTTATTAATAGACGAACACACTACTATATTAATAAAAGAATTACAGCTTTATTGATGGAAGAATAAATAAAGTGTATAACATACAAACACAAATCATAAGAAACATGGTTTCAAGAAACAATCCCACAAAAAATATAGCTAGATATATAGGATTCGAACTCACTGCTTTATTAATAGACAAACACACTACTATATTAATAAAAGAATCACAGCTTTATTGATGGAAGAATAAATAAAGTGTATAAAATACAAACACAAACCATAAGAAACATGGTTTCAAGAAACAATCCCACAAAAAATATAGCTAGAAATTAGCTTACAAAATTTAGCTACTGGAGATTCCTTGCTGAATTCCTTAAAAATATGAAGTGGCAACATCTTACTAGATCTACAGAGGCTCACAACTTAAATGATGCAGTCGCTACTAAATAAAACTAGCTTTTGTCAGTGGTCAATATTTATTAGAAGAAAGTTACACACTGAAATTAAATTACTACAAGTCTTCTAAAACAGCATAAGCTATATTTTGGGTTTCAAATATACCATAATTAAATAAAAATAAATATTAAATTATCTTATGTATAATTTTGATGTCACAGCTAAAATGATGCTGATATGACGAATAATTATACAACTTATCAATTTGAAATTTGCGAAGTAGGTATTACTATAAAATTATAGTGCAGTTATTTTACGTTTAATTTCAAATTTCAAAGTATTTAATCGTCAAATAACAAAATTATTTAAGAATGGGTCACCGAACTACGATTAGGGAAAGAAATTTAATTATTATTACTCACCATAAAAATGGATATAACCAAAGAGACCTATCCAAATGTTGATGTTGATTAGCAGTTCAACACACTATTTAACGTTATCGAAATGACAATAGAGTTGAAAATAAATTAAGCTTAGTTTTAAATAAGATTTTCACCGAAGATGAGGAAAGATGGATGGTGAGAGAGCACCAAAATTGCGAGATGAGGTGGAAAGATAGTCTGGTAAAAGATGTAACCCTAATACAATTAGATGGATATTACAAAAGAATAATATAATCTACATGGTCGAAAAATAAACCTTTTATTAGCCAAAAAAATAGGCATATTAGATTGGTGTTTGCCAGGGAGCATATTAACAAAGATTGGAATTTTGGAATTCAGGAATATTTGCTGATGGAACCAAAATAAAGTTGGTTGGGTTTGATGGAAGAACATTGCTGTGATAGTAGCCAAACGAGGAACTAAAATTTAAAAATATGAAAGCTATGGTAAAGCACATTATAGGTGGAGTGATGATATGGGGGTGAACATTGTCTGCAAAAGTAGGCAACATGCATTTGAGGGGAATATGAATCAATACATGTATTTAGATATACTAAGGTAGCATCTCACCACTAGTGCTCAAAAATTAGTATTCAAGAACAATTACTGGTTTTATTAGGACAATGATCCATAACACATGTCATATATAATGGTTCACACTTGGTTGCTTTACAATTGCAGAAATGTCATTAAAACAATAGCCTAACCACCAGATTTGATTTTTATTGAAAATTTGTGGTTGACGTTAAAAAATAAAGTATATGTATAGTTCTTCTACGGCACTACAGCCCAAAATGAGCCTTGGCCTCCTTTATTTTTTGCCTCCAACCTTGTCTGTCTGTGGCTGCTCTTCTCCATACACGGACTCCTAAAAGTGCTTGTGCGTCGCTGCTTACTGTGTCTTCCCAGCGCTTTCTTGGCTTTCCAACTGGTCTCTTTCCCTGCATTCTGGCGTTCAGTGCTCGTTTTGGTAGCCTATCCTCTCCCATTCGTATCACATGTCCGGCCCATTGCAATCTTTGTATTCTAATGAAGTCTGACAGGGGTGTTTCCTTATACAGTTGATAGAGCTCGTTGTTATATCGAATTCTGAAGATTCCGTTTTCCCTCACAGGTCCTAGTATTCTCCTCAGTACTTTTCTTTCGAATGTGTCGAGTTTGTTTTTGGATGTTTCTTTCAGGACCCATGCTTCGCTGCCATAACCTGCTATTGGCCGAATTAAAGTTTTATAGATTCTCATCTTTGTATTTCGGTGGACACTTTTAGACCGAAATATATGGGAGAGGGCAAAATAAGCTTTGTTTGCCTGCGTTATCCTTTTTCGTATTTCTCCATCCTCTGCTCCATCGGCATATATTTCTACTCCCAGGTATGTAAACTTTCCAACCGTTTCAATGTCATCTTCATGTATAATGTTTTGTGGGATTATATTTCTTCTCGTCTGTACCATTATTTTTGTTTTTTCTGTGTTAATTTCCAGACCTAGCCTTTTCGTTTGTGTTTTTAACTCTGCGTATGCTTCCTGTGCTCCTGTTGATGTTCTACTCATAATATTAATATCATCGGCGTAGGCAGCCAGTTGAACCGTTTTATTGGTCAGTAGGTTTTCTCGTCCAGTTTGCATTTGCCTAACCGCATACTCAGGTGCCAGGTTAAACAATGTTGGTGCCAGCCCATCTCCCTGCTTTAGTCCCTGCCAGATTTTGAAAAAGTCTGTCCGGTTGTTTTGTATTCGTACACATGCCTGAGTTTCATCCATTGTGGCTTTAATGAGTCTAATTAGCTTATGTGGTATTGCTAATTCTGCCAATATATAGTATAGTCTGTCCCTTTTGACTGAATCGTATGCCTGTTTGAAGTCTAGAAACACGTTGTGAACATCAATGTCGTGTTCCCACGATTTGCTCAAGACCTGCTTGACTGTAAATATTTGATCCATTGTCGATCTTCCCCGTCTGAAGCCCGTCTGATATTCTCCAATAATATTTTCTGCTGGTGGTTGGAGTCGCTGGTTTATAATATACGTGAGGACTTTATACGCTGTACATAGTAGAGAAATTCCACGGTAGTTTTTGCATTGGAGTTTGTCTCCTTTTTTATAGATTGGGCATACTATACTTTTCTTTCATTCGTCGGGTATTTTCTCTTCTTGCCATATTTCTTTGATAAGCGCGTGGATATGACTTGATAGGTGGTTGCCACCTACCTTATACAGTTCTGCTGGAATCTCGTCAACTCCCGGGGCTTTATTGTTTTTCTGGGCCTTAATAGCTTCGAGAACTTCCTCTATGGTTGGAGCTTCTACTTCAACTTCGTTCTCTTCTACATGGTTCGTACCCATTTCATCTTCCATATCTACTTGTGTTCCAAGTAGGGTCTGAAAATAATGCTTCCAGGTTTCTGTGACATTCTGTTGGTCACTGATTATTTGCCCACTTTCATCTTTGCATAGGCTTGTTTGAATTTTATATCCACTTTTTATCTTTTTTAGGTATTCGTAAGCTCCTCTAATTTCGTTTTTTTTTGAAATTTTGTTCCATTTCTTCTATTTGTCCATTTTCATAAGCTCTCTTTTTGTTTCTGCATATCTTGTCTGCTTTCCGTCTTGCGACTTGCGTCTTTCCCGTGTTCTTCTTGTTATGTACATTTTGTGAGCTTCGTTTCTTTCTTCTATCGCTTGCCTGCACTCGTCATCAAACCATGTTCCTCTTCTCTTCTTTTTCTTGTTTCCCACGGTGGACGCTGCTGCTGTCAGCACTGCTGTTTTGATATTATTCCATTTGCTCTCTATGGAGTGCAGTTCTTGTGTCCTTAGCTCATTTGTGACTTCTTGCTCGAACTTCTCTCTACATTCCTGAGTCTTCAGTTTTTCCAGGTCTAGTTTGTTTGTTCTTTGTTGTCTTTCGTTTCTTTCTCTGTTAATTCTGCACCTAAATTTGGTTTGCAGTAAAAGATGGTCTGATCCACAGCATGCTCCTCGTCGTGTTCTCACATCAGAGATACTACTGGCTGCCCTTTTGTCTATAATCACATGGTCAATTTGATTGGTTGTGGTTCCATCTGGTGAGATCCACGTCATTTTGTGTATGTCTTTATGTGGGAAGCATGTGGAGCTTATAACCATGTTTTTACTGGTGGCAAAATTTATCAAAAACTCCCCATTCTCGCTTGTTTCATTGTGCAGTGAGTGTTTTCCTGTTGTGCCATAGAACTGCGGTTCCTTGCCTATTTTGGCATTCATATCACCCATTATAACCTTAATGTCGTTTTTTGGCGCGTTGTCATATACTATCTCCAGCTGTTGGTAGAAGCTTTCCTTTGTATGTTGCTCTTGTTCATCTGTTGGGCAGTAGATGTTTATCATAGTAAGGTTGAAGAAGTGGGTGCGAATTCTTAGTTTGCATATCCTTTCATTCACTGCCTGGAAGTCTATGATTTTTGACTTAAAATCATTATCTACCACAAATGCAACTCCACATTCTTTGATTCCTTGTTCTTTGCCACTATATAGAATTGTGTGCGTTTTGGTGTCCCTGACACCTTTTCCCAGCCATCTTGTCTCCTGAAGAGCAGTGATCATAAGATTATATCTTTTTAGTTCTTGTAGAAGTGCAGTTTGAGCTCCTGGTCTATTTAGCGTCCTCACATTCCAACTTCCAAATGCATAGTCCACGTTTCGTAGCTTTAACCACCAGATTTGATTTTTATTGAAAATTTGTGGTTGACGTTAAAAAATAAAGTATATGTATAGTTCCCCTATATCAAATAGAAATAAACCGAAAATAACAATTACTAAAGCTTGGGACACAATTTCCCTAGAGTACACTAGAAAGGTGGTCGAATCAATGCCTAGGCGACTACTAGCTGTAATTGAAGATAATGAAGAAATATCTTCAAAATATTAACAATCATTTTTCAATACGTTGAGATTATTTTCTATATTAATTTTCTTGATTTAAAGTTTACGTCATTTTAGTTGTGACATCAAAATCATACATAAAATAGTTCATTGAGGCACTGACAACAGCTAGTTTTTGTAAGTGGTGACTGCATCATTTAAGTTGAGAGCCACTATATAAATAATTACATATATATATATATATATATATATATATATATATATATATATATATATATATATATATGTATATATATATATATATATACATATATATATATATATATATATGTATATATATATATACATATATATAATATATATATATATATATATATATATATATATATATATATATATATATATACTTATATAATATTCTTTTTCTCTTTTTATTAAAACTATTTTACTATCAGTAATCAACATCTTATAAAAAAATTTAAACATTATTATCTTCTTAAATGTAAAATACCCACATGTATTCATTCATTTAGTAATTAATACAAATTTATATTATCCGCTTATAAATATTTGTAACAGTATAGATTATTTTGTGGTTTATACTAATTTAGAAATTAAAAGTATTTTGCTGGATATAACTGGATTAACGCTGGATATAACACTCTTAACGACAATAATGTCAGCCACTATATTTCTAGATATAGTCAGACATTTTAACACGCTTCACATGAAAGGCTATTATATAAAATAAAAAATACTCTCCTACCACCAACTTCAAATTTTATTTTAATTAGGGTCTAATATGCATTAGGAAATTTCAAACTACATTAGCAGATTTTATCTAGCCTAAGTTACTTGTAATAATGATTTCTTGATCCACTGACATATATTCTTAATATATTGGATTATTTTACTGGTCCCCTTTTACATTTGATCTTTCCTTCAATGATTAAGTATATTTTTGATTTATCATATGACTGAAATACTTAGTTTTTCTGTTTAACCTTTTTCTTGTTTTAATGTTTAACTATGTTTATTATTTCTTCTTTTTTCCCCATTCATTGGAGGAATCCAATGTTCATTATATGTCTAATCCATAAAAGTCTAAGCATTTTTAGAATAACACTACAATTTAAATTCTTGCACTTTCGTTTTTATTATCTTTCATGCCTCTACTACATACAATACTGTAGAAAACAGGTAGCAACCAAATTATTTGAGTACACTTTTTAGAGTAAGTAGAACAAAAACATAACACTTTTTGTCTTTTTTAGTACACATATCTTCCTTTCCCAATCTGTGCTTTTACTTCCATTGAGTAATCCTAAGCTACTGCGTCATCTGCATATGATAAAACATTAACCCTTCTTCTTAGTAGAGTGCCGTCTCCTTACAGAGGTTGACAATCATAATGGCTAATTTTATTTTTGAACATGCTGCCCTAAACAAATTAATCGATAGGTGCCAATCACATAGAATCTTCAACCAAGAATTCTGCCTTCAGACAACGGATCTTCCTTTGGTTCCCTCATCACATGAGGTATTCCAGTTTTCTGATTTGTATAGTGGTGATACTCTGCAATATAACCAGAGTTCGAAAGCCTAGATTCTTTTTAAGTAGTTTTTTTATTTGTAATTCTATCTATGCATTATATCTTTAAAACTCTGCAGTAAAACCAGCGTTCATAAGCCTAAATTCTTCTTAAATTGCATTTTTTAAATGTTTAAGTCTCAGCTCATATACCAATATTGAAAATATATAACAGAATGGTATGTAGTCTGATTTTTATATTAAGATTTCTGCATGTTAGGAGTGGATTCACTCATGTAAATGATGATCTAGCAATCTCTATCTGTCTGTTTATTTCTGCAGTATGATCATTGATTGCATGGATCAAAGTTCCCAAGTACTAATGTTTTTTTTTGTATTGTAGCATTACCTACCTGATAAAAATTATTTGCCTTAATTACTGTGCAATTACTATTTCCATTGGGAATAAGCCAAAATATAAGTTTAAAATAAGATTATTTTTGATGTTTCAATTTCTACTTTGGAAATTGTTCTTAAAATACAAAGCATTCATAAATTCCGTACCTTGGAGGTAAAGGACACTATGTCCATTTTCTTACATTTTAACCAGAGCAGTTTTAACATTTTTTAAATTTGTAATCAGTCAATAGTCAAATGTTTCTGATATTTAACCAAAATTAATATAATATATTAATTTTGGTTAAATGTCAGAAACATTTGAGTATTTACTGATTAACATTGGTTAAATGTCAGAAACATTTGAGTATTTACTGATTACAAATTTAAAAAATGTTAAAACTGCTCTCCTTAAAAAGTAAGAAAATGGACATAGTATCCTTTACCTCCGAGGTACGGGATTAAACAAATTTTGTTTTTTGTTACTTAGTGAAAAATTCTTCTAATACTCAATTTAATTTTATCTGACTTATTCATATTTACAATTCAGATGTATATTATACATTTTGAAGTAGAGGACTTTAAAATGATATTGTCAATATTGCTGAGTTGCATATTAATTATTGTGGCTGTGATATTATTTGACAAACAAATTGAAAACATAAGATATCAGGGATAAATAGCCTTAGTCAAATTAAATATTAAATATCAGATTACTGTGGTAAATAAAAACATCTGAAACATTTTAAATATATAAATAGAACTATAAAGTAACTATAATATAAATAGTAGGAAAATAATAATAATTAAGAATTGATTCTTGATACAATAGTAGAAAGATCATAGTGATATTTGAAAAATCATTTTATTTAGGAATATATAAATGTAGGGTAACAATCATACTTTTGACAAGCATATCTAGATTACCCTTTCCTTGTTACTTTATTCATTCATTCTTAATAGATAGAAAGTAGCATGGAACAAAATATACAGTAGCTTAATACATCAAATATTTCCAATCTCACATAACTACCCATGTATCCCATTATTTATCTTTAGGAAGTTAAACTACACAATTTTCAAAGCATCCCCACACCAAAGCTGTTCTAATTAGATTTTACATTGTGGTTGTAGTAATTACTTTTCTATACATGGTAGATAAATTATATAAATTATTATTGTTAAGTAACCTAAGTAAAGACGTTAATATAAAATTAAATTTAAACTGTTTGTTACATTTATCAAAAAATTTAGATTATGTTTAACACTAGTTGATAACCCTGTCTTATGTCAAGAACAATCTTGCATCATTTATTAACAATGGGCATTACTTTTTCTTAAAATAGAAAATTTTGTTGATGGTGCAGGGGTGTTCTTAAATGTATAACTTTTATATAATAAATTTAGGTGAAAAATATAGAGGTTAGGTACCCATTTAAAAACAAAATAATTACCTGGGCATACTGTGATATTCCAACAACTCCAATTTTTTCGGTAACTTCAACCCATTCGTGTTTATTAGTGAATAGTCTTTCTAAAATTATTATAAACTAATTATCTTGTACATAACCCACAATTTATGTACATACCTGCCAATGTGCACCTAGATGTATGGAAATATCTAGGACTTATTTTTAAGTGCTGACTAAAACTATGATTTTTAACTACTTGTAAAATACTAGCACATACACGAGGAAGAGCCATCTTAAATTAAATTTATTTAAACTGTTTAATTTATTGTTTATAGTCTTTAGGTCTTTATCAGCTAAGTGACGACATCTACCAGTAATGGCAAGTAGCCAGTAGTAAAATAGCCCTGTTTATTATTGAAATATATACAATAAAATCATCATACTCTTATAAATTATTACAAAGTTGAGATTAAATTGAAAAACAAATGATAAATATTGCCTCATTTTGTGTGATAAATACTTAAGTAATTTTTCGTAATTCATATAATTTACATTGCAAAATTATTTATTTATATAAATATTTAATACAACTTCTCAAGTTTAGGGACACCTGTGTAATGTTATTGAAATTAACATGAATCTGATAAAAATTAGATTCTAAATATTTTACAGTTAAAAGTAGTTTACTACTTTTAAGATGAGGTAGTTCACCCTCTAGCGGCTGCTAGAAAAGCAGGGTTACAGAGATTTACCAATAGACATTGTAGTCGTGTGTAATGTTTTAGAATAAAATTATTTTATATCGAATTTATATTAGCGTTACTTTTATTGGGAATTAGCAACAATTTTAGTTTAACATACGTTTATTTTCACGTTTCTATTTGCACTTTGGTAATCATTCTTAAAATAAAAATAAACAAAAATATTTTAAAACTTAATTTTATTTTTTATTGCCTCATTCATGTAAACAATTCAGACATAATGTACATTATACATTTTGAAGAAAATGTATTTTAAAGTAAGATTGTAGTTAATTCTCCCTGTGGCGCACCCAGAATTCGCTTGAGGGGGAGTTTTGAAATTTTTTTATGCTACCTCCATTTTGAGTCCCTAAAATTTGGGTTTTAGTTCAATTTAAAGTACTAAAGATAGCAGTACCAAATATTCACGTATCTAATATCCTGCCTACCTACTAAAACCACCCTCTCTTACTTGTGCGCAGTTGACTGTCGCAGGTACCGTACTCCGAAAGTGGGGTGGCCGCTGTAAGGCTGACATTTTTGGAACACTTCCTTCTGTTTTCTAGATCTTATCTATTGTTCTGAAGCTATTTCCTTGTGGCATTTTAAAGTAATTACTATTTTAATGGAAATAAGCCACAATTGAAGGTTAAAATAAGTTTATTGACGTTTGACATTATTCCAACTTGTAAATACAATACATTTTGGAGACTGGTATCGCCGTATCCCCGTTCTCCTCTGCTAATCCTCCCGGTCCAAGGCGTGCTCCTCCTCCAAACCTCTCATTTCCATCGCTCTTCTAATTCCTTCATTCCATCAACGTGTACCTCTTTTTCTTCTTCCAGGGGCTTCCATTTGTGAAGTTTTTGGGGCTAACGTTCGTCAGGCATTCTCAATGTGTCCAAATCATTCTGAACCACTTCTTTCTATTCTGTCAATGACCGGTTCTGTAACGTTCATATTATTTCTCATAGATTCGTTGGTCTTCCTTTCCTGCCTTGATGTTCTAGCACTTCTTCTCAAATAATTAATTTCAACTGCCAACAATCTTTTCTTCAGATCTACATTAATCATTCATACTTCAGAGCCATAACAAAGAACTGATTTAACCATGGTTTGCCTATTGTCTTTTTTTATTCCTTCTGGAAATGTTGCGATCTCACCATAAGGAGTTTAGAGATCCTACAATTTTACGTGTATTATCGTATATATATATATATATATATATATATATATATATATATATATATATATATATATATATATATATATATATATATATATATATATATATATATATATATATATATATATATATATATATATATACCTAGGGTGACAATAATTTTTCAACAAAAAAAAAGTACATTTATAACTTTTAAGAAAATATGTACACTGCTAGTGCCCTAGGAAATTTTTCTGGTCAAAATTTTACGAATCTTTAATGAAACAATGATAAGAACGATTTTTTTAATCAAACATAAGTACATATCTAACAAATGTCTAATAAATTTTAATAGTTAATTTTCTTTCGACGTTCCTTTCTGAACATCTTGATCATCATTTTGGTACCAATCGTACCTTTTGGAACTATGAATTTCCTTCAGAAGTTGTGGTTTACTCTTTAAGAACTGAAACATTTCATTACACGTAACTTTGAAGTTTGTGTAGACTTGCATGATGGCTTCCAAAGTAGATATTTTCAACTGCGATTTGTTGATCCAATAGTTATTGATATTTGAGAACAACCGCTCAATCGAGGTACTGGTCCCGGCAGACAAAAAACAAACTCACATAGAATTTTGAGATTTTTTAAAGCCCTTTCTTTTTGGAAGATTTCGAGCCATCGATTTTCGGTAGAAATATTTTTCGAATTCCTGTCTGTGATTTTATTTTCTGTAACGTAGGTTCGTAGTAGACTAACTTCATCAAACAGTTAGTTCTGATTCAATATCGGACCTACTTAGTCTTTGAAAGCCTCACACGACGATAAAATTTCAGCCCAAGAAACTTGTTTTTTCAAGTTAACTCATACAAATAGCCTTAGTTTACTAAAATTTTCACTCCAGTTTTTCAAATATGTTACACAATTTGAATAGAACTGCTTGACACGCGTGATAAAGATATCCCGATAGTTCACACTATGGTCAAGGTCTTCCATATTTTCAAGTTTTGAAAGGGACTCTCTTACTTTAAGCGGCAAAAATAACTTATTTAAGCGATTTTGAAGCTTATTTATAAGTTCGAAATACTCCAAAGCGGCTTCCGTTGCGCATATTTTGTCACCTTCTACATCTAAAATAACTTTGTGGAAGAGAGACGCAATGTTATGCACAAACCACATCCATGCTTCACTGATTGGGTTTTGAAAAAACTATTTTAGAACTGTTGGACAATTATCAATCGACAAAAAATATGCTTTCAAGGGTTCGAACATTTGTATAATTGGTTCAATGGCTGGCATTAGCCTCAAAAATCTTGTTTTTAAAAACGACAACATTTTTGTACTCGATATCAACAAAATCGCAAAACTGTTTTAATTTCTCCACTCGACTGTAAAAATATAGAAATACTTAAAAATCTTGACCGCAATAACCTCGATGTCTACGGGTAAGACGACCGTCGCATTTTGTAAACAGTTATAAAAATGTGTGCCACACAACCAATTCCAATCACGGGTTTACCACGAGAAGCATTTCATTTGCTGAATAGATTATTCACTCCTATTTTTCTTATTCCAACAAAATTTGTATTTATAGTATTAGCATTATTCCGATGAATTTTTGTAGTAAATTATGGTGGTTCAAAACATTGACCACGTAATCTTTTAACTACTCTGATGTTTCACCAGGTAAGTCACGTAGCTAAAGTAATTTTACTTGGACACCATTTTCTCCATCAAAATGTCTTACTATTAAGGGTACAACTTTAATTTCTCTATGATTCGACGAATCGATTGTAATGCTGACGAAATTTGCTTTTCGAAGTCTTGGTTCGAGCTGCCGCAAATTTAGGTTCAAACAGGCTTACAATTAGTTTTGACATGCAGTCTAAGGATCTGAAATTTTGCAAATGCTTAATTTTATGGTAAGCAAAAGTACCTTCCTTGGCAGCAATCAACATATTTTCAGAACTTAAATTTTCTTTTTTAACATTGACAAATGTTGTTTGATATTACTGCGACCACTGTTAGAAATATCAACATCACTTTTACAAACTTGGCAAAACACAATATGCGTTGAAACCTTTGATTTTTGTTTCATAAAAGGATACTCTGCTTGCAACTCGACGTTAAAATGGCATTTTTTTCTAGGCGGTGACATGATGAAATTGTTTATTTTTCCACACAGCACAAAATAATATAAAAAACGATGAAAAGTGTCGGTAAAAAGTAATCAATAGTGAGCGCATCAATTCGAATCATAATTATATTTTGTTTGGACAAAAAGCAGGACTTAATTTTGTGTAATTAAGAAAAAGAGTACATTTAGGTGTACTTCATAAATTTTAAAGTACAATAGGACAGCGTTTGAAAAGAAAGTACTGTCCTACTAAAAAAAGTACATATGGTCACCCTATATATACCTGCTATATTCTGTGTAAGGACGCTTTATCATACATTCTAGATGATAAGAATCTTTCAGCTAGGACGACTTGGTCATCCGCAAAGTTCAGAGAGAATAGTACATCATTTCCTATGGGGACTCCTATTCCCTGGCAGTGGTTTTTCCAATTTTGGAGGGCTGCCTCAATAAATAAACTAAACATTAAGGGTGATATACTGCATGCTTGTTTTAGTCCTTTAGTTATTTTTATTGGCTCTGATAGTCTATTTTCGATTTTTAGGTAAGTAGTGTTATCCCTGTATACTTATGTGATTGTTTCTAAAAGGTATGAACTAATGTCACTTGTTGTAAAGCTTGCCACAATTTAAGTCTTGGAACTGTATCATACGCCTTTTCGAAGCCGATGGAGGCTAGATGTACTTCTGAACCAACCGCTATTCTTTCTTCTATTAATTGTTGAAGTATAAACAAGTTATTACTGCAAGATCAAAGATAAAAGATTCAAACGTCAATAAATTTCTTTTAAGCTTTAATTGCAGTTTATTTTCATTAAAATAGTGATTAGAACTATTCTCTGATAAGAATAATCTTATCTTCTTTCTTTTTAATAACTGCTCGGATATAATTGTGAACACCATTCTATCCCTCCGTTCTTCCCGTCATCTTCACGGTCATCTCTCTTACAGCCACAGGGTTCATACCTATTTCTTTACACATTATGTTTCTCTCCACTGTACATCTATTACACTCCTGCATTGTGTGAGTATCAATGTTGGAATATTCGTAGCATAGGCATTTATCTGTATCTCTTTCTGAAGATATGCCCTAAAACAGACAATCTACCCAGTCCCTTAGACTTGGGATCAGCATCTTGGTCCACTGGGCAACATCTTGCTTCTTGTTCCACTCTTCTTGCCATCTTTCCATTGATCTTTTCCTTTCTTCTTTTTTTATAGATGTTGTCAAATGTTCTCTTGTCTCATTGAGATGTCTCTTTTCTACTGCTAACACATGCAGAGGAACACAACCCGTGATAGTCCACAAGGCAG